GGCACTACAGTGACGAACCATTCATTCACATTGGCAACGCGGTGTGCATCTTGTTATCCTCGCTGCTGCCTTCATGCTGCATATTTGCACTTTACTCGGTACAAGAAACTCTGGCACGCCTTATACTTATCGATCTTGTCTTTGCAATCGTCATGGCATTTGTTGTGCAGGCGCGACGACAGGACATTTTTGCTGCGACCACCGCGCTTGCAGCGGTCCAGGTCGTCTTTGTTGGCGGAATTGACGTTGTTTATGTGACCAAGAAGGGATCCTAGACATGAAATCTAGGAAGAGAATGCTAGGACTTCAGAACCGAAGCGAGGACTGTCAAATTTGCCTTCACATCATCATCCGCCTCACGGTGAAGGGATTCCAGTGTGATTTACTCCGTACCAAAATACCCCCGTTTACCGCGGCGTTTTGTTGAAGCGCTACGGTATCATCCTGAATTTGTCGGCCTTGTGACCGGTTTCGCAAGTTGCTCCTTCTTCTTGTCTCGGTCTGTTTTGATAACGTTCGCCTTTGTGGTCCGAGCAGCTGCTTCACGAGCTGCCGCTTGCGCTTTTTGCTCTGCCACGGCCATTAAGCAAGGGATGCTGATTCAACTTTCGTAAAACATACCTGGAGTTTGAGAAGGCTCTTCGACGGTAGCAATACAACCAGAACTAGAGCTTCTATCGGTTGCCACACCTTTGCAGAACAGTGCCTCCATCGGCAGGCCAGGCGCTATATAGAGTGTAATTGCCTGGGTCTCCGGAATATATTTTTCCGGGGTCCATCGAGCCTCGAGCTTCTGAACCACCTATACTTTGTCCCGCCGCTGGTTTCGACTATCCATGGATCCGCCAGCTGATCTGCTGCATGTTTCCCCAGGAGTTTTGCCGCAGTGCACTCGGAGATCAAGCAGCAAGCGGGGTTTATGGCGGCGTCTTCAAACATTCCGACGTCTTGGAAGCCCGGCATAGATACTCCCCCATTCTTGCTGTTGGCCGCGACCGACACAACGCCTCCGTTACCAGGCTGTCCTTTCTGTCAGCTACGGGATGACTTTTGTCAGCGCTCCGAGCCTCACCATGGGTCTTGATGTGAATAGGTTCCTCTTCCAGCGCCCGAATAGGCAAGGACACTTTCGGGGCCGTTCGCTCGGGACGCGGTCAGGTTGGTGCCGATAGTTTTGGGGCTCGCTCACCACGATCACGAAGCTGGGGCTGGTGTCTGGAAATCCCATACCGTAAGAGCCGTGATCCTCATGAGAACAAGATCGGTGGCGGCAGCTCATATTTGAGCTTTGTGTCGTCAGGCTGAGGCACCGCCAGGGAGCGCTAGGCAGGACGGTTGCCCCGCGCCTTGGATTGTGATGGCTATGGCCACGGAGCAAGTGTGAGCTTGCAAGGCGCGGTCATCTGCTGAAGGCGGGCGTTAAGTCGAGCGTTCGTGGGATGTAGGCCATCCAAAGCAGATTGCAAAAGCCCTATTTATTGCATTGGTAGGCTAGAGGCCAGCTGGCAGTGCGGGATTCGATCCTTGGCAAGGTGCTGTGTAACCACCCTTGCCACCCCCGCATACTATGCCCGAAAACCGGTTTCGAGGGGGGGAGTTCACTTGCCCGCCGCCTTTTATGGAAAATGTGCCGTGCGTCCCCTGGGGGACGACTCCAAACTAGGCGCAAGAGCACCGAAATTTAAACTTTGATTCTATGGTTGGGCTGCACCCTTCACCTTTGACATCTTCGTTCGCAAGAGCAAAGAAAGCCAACATCGGGAGGTCCTAACCTCGACGCCTCAACAAGTCCGATAGCCATCAGTTAGGGTTGGTTGTCGCCGGAGGATGTTGGTGGTGCTTGACAGCTACCGTTGATGCATTATTGCCGGAGCGTAAATAGCCCCTCTTCTTTCTTCGCATCCGCTCAGCATGTAATCTTGAATGAATGGATGCGCTGTTACAGGGACGATGCAAGCTGCGCCGGGAACAAGAATCCCACGTCTCGCTCTTCGAACCTCGGCCAATGTTCCCTTTCGTGGATCCGTAGGGATTCTTCTCGTTACGATATGCCTCCTACCCTAGTGCGCCTCTTTGCGAACATATTCTCAATCATATCGTGGTAGGTATTTCTAAGGCTGAATCGTCGAATCTTAGACGGTCTGATCGGTGCGTTGCTGTTCCGAATCTAGGTCTAGGGTTGCTCGAAAGAATGGGGTCGGGAGGGAACCTTCATCCATCGAAGGAGGTGGTGCGTCACCGAATGACGACGGTGATGCTTGAGGAAGGAGGCGCAGGTGAATTCACAACTGGGCTCTGGTCCCAGAGCGGAGAAGTGTTCAATATTGACGTCCTATGGCGACCGCAACGTTGGACGGTGGCTCCGCAAGGAGTCAAGTGCGATGGGAGAGGCGCAAACAAACCGCGATACGGACTGAATGCACTGCAAAAAGCTTCGCACACGCCAAGCAAAGCAGCTCGCTGCTCAACACTGCCTAACACCGTGACGATTGCTTCCGATCACTGCAAAGCCAAGTTATAACGAGTCTCAATCGAAGTAATATGCAGAATGCTCTCATGGAGGCCAGACTTGATCGATTTCACCAGTCGCTTCCTCGAGGCACAGCCGGAATTAGAGCTGGGGGAACGGTAGAACGCTTAACTGTTTATAGCAAATCTGGACGGACCGAACGACTTACCACAATGGCTGGCTTTGGGGTTCCGTGAATAGGTCGTAGCCTCCGAAGCTGCTTGACGGAGAGGCTCCTACGAGACTGTTTCCGCGTTCAAATTGATGCATTCTCAAGATAGATCTGGAGGAAGCCCGCGAAAGGGAAGGCGAAGGATTCGAAGGAGCTGTTTTGATTCTTT